GCAAGTAAATGGATAGCTTCCCAAGATATGGATCGCTATTTCCGGGATCCCTCGCATGGGGGTTCTTTATCTACATATACGTGTATCAAGGCGACCTGAAAAATAAGTAAATCAATTTTGATGTATTGTGGAACGATCTTCCGTCATCCAATTTGTCTCCAAACCAAATTTGACAAGGGATGACGGAAAATCGTTCCACAATACATCATACTCCTACCCTGTCGGAAACACAAACAACCAAAAAGAAGTTAAATCAATTCTCTTTAGGATATTGTATCCGGTAGTAGATGAACATTGGTAATTTGCCTTTAATCTACATATGTATGCACATACATATATACATATGAATTGTAACGAACCCGGTTTATCCGGTCTATAGCTGGGCTGTGGCTCAGTCGGATGTTGGGTTCCCTTATCCAAACGTTAAAATAAATACGCCAATGATTCTTATAGTGACACTTCTTTATTTCGCTATTTAGTTGGCAGCGTTTGCACTTTACACCAATATAACGTATTTCCTTGGCGGCGTTTCCACGTCACACCATATAAGTACTACTTGGCAGCGTTTTCACGTCACACCAATATAACGTATTGCTTTGGCAGCGTTTTCACGTCACACCATATACCTTAACTACCTACTAAGCAACTTAGTCTTCACGTTCGTTGCTTAGCCATTCCAATCTGCGTTTTCACGATAGGCTGGAGTATACGACTACTCTACCAGAAGTGATTTCAAATTACATTTGATTCTCTATTTATACTGTCCTGCACGCAGGCAGACAGTTAACCTAACAGCATTCTTGCTAATATTTTCTTTACTTCCTTTTACTTGTTGATACCTAAGTACGTATGTATGTACTTCAAATTTCAATATAAATATGTACATGTGTATTTCGATCTCACGTATGTATATAATTAACAATTCTTTTAATATGTATATTCACTTATGATAATTATCAAAATTCAACAATAGGAGCGTTCCTTATCTCCCAGAAATAGTCAGAAAAAGTCCGAAGTAGTCAGATTTAGTCCAAAAAGCGTTCCTTAACTGGGAAATGACAGCAAAAATGAGAGAGCAACAGTCAGTGAGAGAGACTCTCATCAGTCCGAAGTAGTTAGATTTAGTCAGAAGAATTTTTTCTGGCAAAATCCTGAAACGTGTCAAACTCAACTGAATTTAAATTAACGGAAATTAAAGAATACGCAAAAAGTGAGAATAATCTAAAAAGTAAAAGAAATGAATTGAAATTGGAAGAAGGCAAAAAATAACTGATATAGCAAGTGTTTATTGTGCTTGTGCTTGTGTGAATGTGTTTTGTACATACATTTCTGTTCTTATTTGACGTTAGTTTTGTTGTTGCCATTCTTTGGACTAAAAATTTGGTTTTTTGCGTTC